TGCTGTGGGCGGGGAATGGGGAGCCGCCCACCAAAAGTTATCCGCACCGAACCGAGTACTCGTTGGCGAGACACAAACAGAAGGACGACCGTGACAGCCGTCGGGGAAACTCAAAGAAAGGTGGCGGGAAGTACAGTCGTAACAACCAGCGGGCGCCCCTACCGAATCACGATCGTGCTCAGGAAGTCTTCACCCTGCTGAAAACGACGTACGAAACCGTTCTAATGAACGAACATGATCAGATCCCGAAGCCGACCAACCGGAAGCCTGGTCGACAGGATAATCGGGACACTGGCAAATTCTGCCGGTACCACCAGCAGAACAGCCACAATACCGAAGACTGCATCAGTCTGAGAAAAATTGTCGAGCGTTTGATTCGGGAAGGAAAGTTGGATCAGTACCTCGCCAGGCCACCGCAGGCCCCAGCGCTGAACGCGAATCGGCAGATCAACATGATCAACATGATCAGCGGCGGCAGATGGGAGCCCATCACATTTTGTGAGGAAGAGGAAGAGGGGATCATCTACCCCCACGACGACCCAATGATCATTCGGGCCGAGATCGCCGATTACGATGCGGGTCGGGTGCCAATGCAAGCTCGGTGAACGTGATTTTTGCCGATGCATTCAAGGGACTGGGGATTGCCGACAGCATGGTCAATCGGCAAATTACGCCTCTACTCAGTTTTTCTGGAGATCTGGTCCAACCAGTCGGTAGCATCAGTCTGCCCATCGCCTTCGGCGTCGCCCCCAGGAAAACAATGACCTACGACCAATTCCTCATTGTCGATTGCCCAACGGCATACAACGTCATCATAGGGCGAACGGCACTCACAAGGGTCAAAGCCCACTTGTCGCCCCACATGTTGCTGATGAAGTTCCTAACACGCAACGGTACCGGAGCCATTCGGGGTGATCAGCTCAGCGCACGGACGTGCTATACCACGGCCCTTAAGACGGTAGCTAGCAAACCGCCCATGAAGGCCATGACCTTGCAGGGACTACCGAACAGTAGCGAACCTATTGACGACCCCAAGGAGGAAAACCCCGCGCCGATGGCGCCACCCGCCGCGGCGCTCGCGACCGC